CCCCCCCAGTTATTAACTTTTAATAACATATATTCTCTGAACTTTAACACCTTGAATCGTGATTACTATGTTAACTTAGTATATTATTATTAGCCTATATTAGATCCTTCAAACCCTTGGATCAGTTTATTGTGTTATCTTAGTGCTATTATGCTTTGTTTTCATAACATTTTGTGAATGTGGTTTTATTTACAAGACCGTGTGTTTATAAGCTCTATCTGTTATATACTGTTTGATTAATGTATGGTTTCCCCCTAATCATTTTTCTTTTTCAATATCAGGGTGGTTTTAAGGTTCATGTACAACTATATCCTTGTCATCATACGGTGCTTTTCAGGTCTTTGATGTTAAATATGTCTGTTAATTGGTTGAACTCTTCTAATGATTAGTAATAAGAATGGTTTCGCATTGTACATATATATAGACCCTCAAATTTACTAAATGGCATTGTGCTTGATAACGATAAGAGAATACTTATCGAAACGTCGTGCTTGTGTATAATAAACCAGTGGTTGTTGTCCCATATAACTGTATAGTTTTGTTGCGAAAGAGTTGTTTTGGAAGAAAGGCCGAAACTAATTACAAAGACCGCATTGAAGAGTTTCGGAAGGCATACCTGGATCTATAGGAATATCGGTCACAAGCAAGTGTCATGCGGTGTTTGCACACATTACCCAATTTCTAGAGGCCCAAAAAAATATTTTCGAAAACGAGCAAACTGGACTGCCCATAGGCGAACGGAAGGTGTTCGACAAAGGGCTAGGCATTTGGTCAGAACAAGCCTCAGAATCCGTTCACCATGACTTTAATGCCTTGTGGAAAACGGGCGGATACGAGCGCGATTTAACGCACACGGAGTACGCCAGTAAGCTCTTGCAGTGCGTGGTAACCTACTGCTCCAGACACAGATAAGAGGTTGAAATTATTGTATAATGTGTTACATGATTGTAGTATACATGATTCTTTTAATGTCGGAATAATATCTAAGTCAGTGGAGAATGTTTAGTGGAGAATGTTTAATAAAAGTTAAATATCAATTAATTATGATCCTTTTCTTCGTATTCATCATTTGGATGGGCTTTTTATCAAATTTTGTGGATTCAGTCAGGGGCGAATTGTCTTTAATGGCGCATTTTTTTCATTTCCGGAAAAGGGCTCTTTACAAGATTTTAATTTTTTCGGATTTTAATTGCTACAGTGGTCTAATACAAGATGCAAATGAGTTTCCCTCTTGGACTTTTTTTTTACCCTACCAGAATCTCAACATAGATGTGAATACAGTAACTTCAATTTGTTCCTATATACCCTACCTGGCTGACCGGAATTCCAAACAAACAATCAATCGTCGCTGGGTTCGGGGGTATACCCTCCCGGAGAAAATTTAACCACCGCAAATTCATTTTATGCTATTCTAGCACGTGTAAACTCCAAAAGTATCCAATTGTTTTGTAACCGAAATCCCACTCTGAATTCCAACCATCCACAGAAAACATATATATTGACACCAAACACTACTACTTAATCGAAATCAGCACATCGTCCGGTTTTCCCGCCAAAAATGGTCGCCATCTTGGAAATATCATACTGAAATGATGGAAAAAAATCTTAAGTATAATCATGAACCCTGCCAATATTAATACATTGTCATATCACAGACGGATGGGAATTATGTAACAAACCGAATCGGACTATATCCTCTAAAGACATGTAAGATTTACATAAAAATCTAACCATTCTTGGCTATAATAGCTCCAAAATAGATTACAGTGTAAAATACAAAAATTCATTCAAATTACTCTATTCTGGGCCAATTTGTCACTGTTTGTAGTTTTGACAAGATGTGCGCATTGTGATTACCAGGGCACTGGTATACTCGAGACTTAGCCTCGCTTTCCCATTTTTAAATTAATTTTTAAATGGCGAACCGTTCTTATCTAGTTAAATTCTCGAGTATCCGAAGGCATCGAAAGTTGATTATGGTCTTGTTTGGTTTATAAATACCTAATTAAGAATTTAGATAACATTTAAAGCCTAAAGAAAGACCTGCAATAGTAGGATTTCCCACCATAAATAAATATCTCCAAATATCTCGACAATTACACCACAATATTATATATACCAAGCCTTAAATCAGTTTCGCGTATTTATAGTCACTAAATAAACGGTCATGTTGTACATAATAAGCTATGACCATTTAACCATCCATAAATAATAGACTGAAAAATGGACACGTGTTTCGGCCATTACATCCGGGCACTTTGGAGTAAAAAATAGGTTACGTGCCATTGTTTTGAAATTAGTCTCGCTTAACCAGTCTACTGATTGACAGACTGGGATAATCAAGACTTCTTTTTTACGAAACATAACAGAGAGCTGGAACAAGAAACTGAATTTAGAAACACGCACGTAAGGCAATCCAACAATTGTTTTAAGAACCTTGTAAAAGTAAAATGAAACTGCTGCTAGTACCATGTACTTGCCTAACCCGAGCGTTTCAGGGATATCATTTGTACAAAACCGGTATAATTAATGATAAAGCAATTTAAAAAATAAAACGAACGTAATTTCTAAAGCTGCTGTAATAACTAACCAGCGGCTGCCAGGCAGGATACGCCCACATTATGCAAGAGATGGATAGAGAACAAGCTAAATAAAAAGGAATTTTTTGTACAATCAGGGGCCATAATTCAGGAAGTTACGATCCGATATAAGCAAATATCGAAAGGAACCAAGATCTTTATGTTATAAACTTATATTTTAAGTTTCATCAAAATCAGAAGAAAATTGTCACCTCTAGAGGGTCCAACAACCTTGATATACCATAATTTTTTTACGCTATTTGAGTACGAGGGGCGGCCATTTTGTCTGTCAGTTTTGGTCCGAAATTCGAACTCAACTTCCCTTAGGATGTAACGGTGATATAATAAAACGTTTTTTTTTTTTAAATCCGATAATCAGGGGCCATAATTCAGGAAGTTACGATCCGATATGCGCGAGTACGAGGGGCGGCCATTTTGTCTGTCAGTTTTGGTCCGATTTTCACAAAATTCGAACCCAACCATCCTTAGGGTGTAACTGTGCTATACAAAAACGTTTTTTTTAATCGGATAAAAATTATGACCTGTAAAGGGTCCACAAGCTAAAAACCCGATTTTTCGTACAATTAGGGGCCATAATTCAGAAAGTTAAGATCCGATATGAGCGAATACCGAAAGGACCCGAGATCTTTGGGTTATAAACTTACATTTCAAGTTTCATCAAAATCAGTAGAAAATTGTGACCTCTAGAGAGTCCACAACCTTGATGTATCATATTTTTACGCTATTTGAGTACGAGGGACGGCCATTTTGTCCGTCAGTTTTGGGCCGAGTTTCACGAAATTTGAACTCAACCATCCTTAGGATGTAACGGTGATATACTAAAACGGGTTTTTTTTAAATCCGATACAAATTATGACCTCTATAGGGTCCACAAGCTAAAAACGAGATTTTTCGTACAATCAGAGGCCATAATTCAGGAGGTTACTATCCGATATGCGCGAATATCGAAAGGAACCGAGATCTTTGGGTTATAAACTTACATTTCAAGTTTCATCAAAATCAAAAGAAAATTGTGACCTCTAGAGGGTCCACAACCTTGATATACCATATTTTTTACGCTATTTGAGAACGAGGGACGGCCAGTTTGTCTGTCAGTTTTGGGCCGAAATTCGAACTCAACTTCCCTTAGGATGTAACGGTGATATAATAAAACGTTTTTTTTTTTTTAAATCCGATAATCAGGGGCCATAATTCAGGAAGTTACGATCCGATATGCGCGAATATCGACAGGAACCGAGATCTCTGGGTTATAAACTTACATTTCAAGTTTCATCAAAATAGGATTAAAATTGTGACTTCTATAGGGTCCACAAGCTAAAAACGTGATTGTTCAAGTTTCATCAAAATAGGATTAAAATTGTGACTTCTATAGGGTCCACAAGCTAAAAACGTGATTGTTCGTACAGGGGCCATAATAGATGAAGTTTCAATCCGATACATGCCAATATCGAAAGCAACCGAGATCTTTTGGAGATAAACCTATATTTCAAGTTTCGTCAAAATCGGATAAGAATTGTGACCTGTAGGGTGCCCACAAACAAATTGTGGACGGATGGACGGACAGGCGTGACGACAATATACGTCCACATGAAAATGTGGGCATATGAAAAGCTAAATATTAGTGCTATTCATGCAGAATCGGCAACAATAGATTTTTTACGGCTGTAATAGTTGATAGATTTGTAGAGAATTTCAGGTGTGCGATGGCTATATAGACTCTTGCACCGAGTGATATTGCACTGCTTGATTAGCCAGAAATCACTTCGAGACAAGCCACTGAAGCGTGCACATTTGCCGTGTCGAGTTTTTGTAGGGAAAGTTTTCGTTGCATGGGGCACCCTAGCACTAGGCATATTTAGCTCTTACATAATACATGTTTAACTAATGGATTTGATGATTTTTTATGGCCGTCGTAAACAATATATTGTTGTTTTGGCTAAAATGTATTGTCTTTTTGACTACCTTTATGGTGCGTTTCGTTTATAATCCCTTTTCACAAGCCGCGGCGCCTTCTTTAAGTTTCGCTGAACTCTTTTAACGGGCCCTTTTTCCATTCGATTGAATACTTGCAGGGAGATTATCTATTTACCATTGATATGTTTTCTCAATTTAATGTCAAATAATTAATCTAAAAAGACTTTAGCGCTGATTAAGCTGTGAATTTTTGATATTTTCCGAAAAAAATACACCAAAATGCAATAAACTTTTGTCTAACAGGCCAAAATTATGACCACACACGTTGAGGCGTCAAAGCAATCTTTGTCTCCATACGCTGGTAATCCTTTAACTTTTAGCTTCCTGCAGCGAACATATACTTAATTCAATTTAAAGGAATGATGAGGAAAGGGAATTTTATACGATTTAAAACATTATTTATAACTTCAACATTCTGTTCGTGTGTAGACCATTTTCGTTTTATTTATAAAACATAAATGACATGAGCAAAAAAATAAATACACGGCATTCAACGCAATATGGCACCTGTGGCTGTTTATGGTTGAACCTTGGAAGTACATGTACACACAATACCATAGCTGATATGTTTTAATACAAAACCACATACATTTTATAACAGCTTTTAAATTCCAATGATTTGGGTGTTTTGTAAAATCAATTTGCTGTGATATCGCCAAATAAAAAAAACTTTACAGAAAATATGATTCAAAATATATAATTTAAAATTCATTCTTTAAAACAGAATGACATTATTCAAACAAAATGCAAAGTATTTTGAGATATTCATGCTTTCGCAAAGATATATTACTGCATCTAATACAACAGAACAATATTGTCGGGATTTGAAATTATAAATAGAATGTCTTATACCATTTATTCCTATCAAACTTATCAATACATACATAATTTAATACAAGATAAAACACGAATCTCTACCGACAACTTTTAATTTACTGTTTATATCTTCGATACCAAACAAGACTGTTGTGATATTTTGTATATTATCTGATATCAATTATCATTCATGTTCACAAAGAATAAAGAAAGATATGTTGTTAATTATTAGTTTTTAGCTCATTTGATGTTTTTGTTCTTTATTTCATTAGAAAAAACACACAAAATTTAATCAATTTCTGGATATCCAAAGCTATCTGTTTCATATTATGAGTAACTTACATATTCTAATGAAATTCAATATTTCGATACACACAATAATAACCTTTTAAAGTATCAACCTAATATCATACAAAAGTCAATAACAATAACATAACCATTGACAACCACTCAAAGAGACATATAAAGCAACAGAACAAACAATTACAATAAATATTTTATTAAAAAACACAATGTGTAAAACCTTTGGTCCCTGTTGGAAAACAGTTGGATATGATATGCAAACACGGACATCCTGACCGTGAAGTCGATAAAAAAAAACCAACAACTGCAGCAATTTGCTGAATAAAATAAAGGAATATTAATGACTAGACTGAAAATATATATATGAAGTTGTAAAAATTGGCTAGCGAGAATAATGACAATGTATATATACGATAAATATGTTCGATTGAGCATTTCCATAAAAGTCCCCACTGATGAATTACATGTATACTGAAAATGTTAAGGGTGTTGTTCGTTTGTTCTTATGCAGAAGCACTTAGTTTATATGATGAGATTCAAATTTCATATTATCGCTAATAAGAACCAAGTTCCCAAACAAACTGAACACCAAAACTTCAGGGAGTAAGTTTCTCAATTTGCAGTTGAACACACTGTTTAACCGTCTCTTCATAACCTAACCTACAATGTTGGATCGGGCGAGTTTTAAACTGTGATTGTTGACAGATCAACTAACCTTTGCCGTAGACTTAAAGGATCATTTATACTGAGCGCGAACGCGACCGCAACCTCAGAAGCGACCGCATTTGATTGCTTAACTGCTATTTCAATCCGCAGATTGCCCTCACAGAAAATATTTCGGAAACGTTCGCGTGAACGAATTTCATTAGCCAATCAGTGTGCGAGGTCAAAAGCCATACATGTGACGTATGTGTAGCCGGGCATGGTCAAATCATAAATGCACCACTTCCATCTGCGTATTTTCGCACGTATCGTAGTTTTCAGTACGAATGATGATTTCCCGCGCAGAATTGCAGTATAAACGGAGCAGTATAAACTGCAACCTCTGCAACTTTCCATGCGAATCATCGTCCGTACTGCAAGTGACGATACGCACGGAAATTCGCAGATAAATCAATTTATATGGCTCATGGCTGGGTCCGATGGGGCTTCTTTCTTTTCTCATATCTCTTTGTCGGGAAGCAAAGGTTTTTAAATAGTTTGTCGTGATTTTTTTCGGGGAAAGATCGTAAAAAAGAGGTAAAAAAAATGTTACGTTCAAGAATGCGTTCGTTTTCAATAGATTTCCTGAAGATAGTGAAAACTAATCACCCCCATTCAGAAAATCCCAGACTGAGGGCGTTTTCAAATTGCTATTTATGTGACAGCGAGACAAATTATAAACTAGAACGGTCGATTTCTCAATTTAATAGCGATTTTAACGCATAGCGTAAAGACCAGTTAACCCTTTCAAGTTTTGGAAAGACGGGTCAATATTCCCTCTACATTAAGTCGTAACAGAATGTTCAAGCATGTGTTGACAACCTGTTTTTGGTATGTAACTCTGATGTAAGCCCACATCCAGTGGAACTTCACACTTATCATAATGCTGTGTTGTTATTGCGTCTCTCGCGATCATTTCGTATCTCCCCTTCTCTGAGTTCCATATATGAATGGGTGCTCTGTATCCGTACGATTGAAAATCACAAGCACATCCATAAGGTGAAAAACAACAGAAAAAACGAAACGTTACATTACACATGTTGACGTACTCACACACTTCTCCAAATGCGGTGTCTTCGGCTACTACAATCTCCTTAACTGGAAAATCTTCCTTTTCTTCTTTCCTTTTGTTCATTTTTGCTTTTTTCAGTTCCTTTACGGTTGGTCCACATGGAAAATGATACGAGATGAGACTATGATATTTTTGAGCATCTTCGACGCTAAGCTTATAATACGGTAATAAAGGAGACGTTTCATCGGTACCTGTGCAATTTTCTGGTGGTCGTGTATCTTGCACCGGTACTCGTAACCCAGGCAACAGAAATATGTCCGAGATTTTCCATTTGACAGTGATTCCACTAGAAACCATGCGAGTTGCCACTTCTAACTCCTGCTCTTTGAAGACCTCCGTATGGTCGACGATACCTTTAATTATTTCAGAATAACTAAAAATACCGTCTTTCTCTTTCAAAATCTCTATTGTGCACACGACTGCGTACTTTGCTAAATGTGTAATGTCCATGGTTTTGGATAACATGGCGATTTGATACTCGTAAGATATAGCCAGCTCTCTGGCTATTTCTTTTAAAGTTTCTTCGATATCATCATCTGGTATTCCCTCTAGTTTATGCATAATTCTTGCTGCTTTGTAACACTTTACAATATCATACACAAATCTAAACAGATGAGGAAGGTTTTTGTGGACGCTCGAAAATCTTAATTTCCTTAGTGCTGCTAGAGTTATTTCCCCTTTTGTCTGTCCTAACGCTAAAAAATCCAAACTAGAATCTAAATCGTTACTATATGAAAACACTGTTTGCATTCGATTCTCATATTTCCGCTTCTTTTTAAGAAATTCCGAGACAAAATATTCTTTGAATATAGTTTGTAAATGAAATAATTCCTCTCTTGTAGGTAGGGGCGTTTTTAATTTCACCATGGTAATGATACAATGACTGCGGGTATAGTTTATCGCAAATGATACATTTTTAAAAATAATCAATCAGAACACTTATTGGTGAAAATGGGTAAAAAGGAAACCTTTTCATTATGCTTTTGGTAAAATAATAAATTAAATAAGATAACAAAATTAAGAAACAAAAACAACTCGGGCGATTAATAATAATTTGACAATATATTATGAGAGTATTTGGTCATTCATGAATGAGCATTATGTATTTTATACCATGGCAAACTTTGGATACTTTCATGTTATTCTATTTATAAAAAAAAATAGATATACATGAAGATAAGTTTAAAGGCGAGTATTACGTCATACTGGCCGGAGGCAATCTGTTTATAGCTAATCTGCTAACCAGGCACATCATAAAATCTGCAATAACAAAAGTTATAATTAATGGTTTACAGTAACTGTACAATAAATATGTCATCGTAGTTATTTTAATACCAGGGGCTAAGTCACAAGAGAAGTGGACGCGATGGAACACTTTCATTGCTTTTGCGCCCCCTTTCGAATGAAAAAAAAATCACGTAGTTTTAAATTTAATGCGTGTTTTCGACGTCATAATCATAACGCTCAACTAGTTTCAAACATATACCGTGGCTCATATTTTTATGCTTAAAATCGACTTTCTCAGAGCCAGGGGGGGGGGGGGGCTACAGAAAGGTGGTCCACCTTATATTATTTAATGGAAGGGTGACCGAGCGTCTCCGTCGCCACGTTGCCATGGTTAAACTCGACTGCCACGCTTGCGTTATTGGATGCAAAAATCAGCCCAAATATATTTTTTATCACATACATTGTACCATACAAAGGGTCCAGTATTATATTAGAAGTTTAACATGGGCCCCATGACATGACACAATTTAAAAAATCTGCTAAAATTACTTTTATTGTCTTGGTGAGAGTAATAGTGTATCGTTAAAAGCCCCATGCCATAACCTTGAAAATGGTGAACATTAAAAATGTAGCCGTATTATTGCGTGTTAAGTGGAAACGTTATCCACAGATTTCAAATTAATTAAGTTATTAGATTTTGACAAGATAATGGAATAAATAAGTAGGAAAATAATCTCATTACCTCCATTGTTAATCTATTTCCATTAAGTTTCGATTACCGTAATAATGATATCACTTACACTAGCTGAAGTTAGGTAGGTTACATAATCAAGTGTATTAAATGAAATCAATAAATATTTCTTACATTTGGCTGCATCACTAATTACTATCTTTGTAATGAAGATCGATTTTCACACGTTGATAACCACATTCACATGCCTGATGATTGTGCGCGACCAAATTCATAGATGAGATGTGGAAATGAAAGGTTTACGTCCACCTTTCCCTGTTTCAGGTTTCGTTATCCGTCACCTTTTTGTTGCATTCGGCTTACATTTCCCTACGTCAGATTACGTTAACAACAGTTGTGTCTGAAATGAATAAAATGTTTTATTTCGACTCGATTGATCAATGTATTGCCCCAAAGTAATCTGCTCACTAAATACTAATCATTGCCACTTTTAAAAGAGCTGTTAGCTCTAAATAAGAAACCTCATCTCTCAACCCTCCGTATATAGGCTATAATATGATAATTGATATCTCAAGGTTTTGAGCTACGTTTTCGTAGCTGGGTTAGCTCAAGGCAATTTATGAATGGGTTGGTCTAACGAAATTCAATACAAATTACAACTGGACACTCCACATCCATCTGCGACAATGGTTCAGTTTCATTGTTCATCCTCTTGGGACTATACGGCCTACTTTAACGGTGTTCCATGCTCAGAAGTATTAGATCTATACCCTAGTACAGTGATTCTCAACCAGTGTGCCGTGGCACACAGGTGTGTCGCGAGATCTTCCTAAGTGTGCCGCGAAATGTTGAACGGCACACTAAGAAAATGTGAAAAACCACGTGATCCTAATTGAGTATTCACTGGTGTCTACTGATAAGTTTATAGCTGTGTTTTTCTTTATTTAGCACTAGGGACCGGGTATCATTCAGATTTGATGAAAAAAAGAAAGAAACTCAGCTTACCATCTATAATCTAATACACATATTCGGTTAATAGATTGACATGCAGAAAGTATTAAATACCATCAAGATTCATCAAATAACGCCCAGTTTGTGCTACCGTTTAGTTTAAGAAACGCCATTTAGTTTTGACATCGGTCATCTAGTTTATGACCATTTAGTTTAGTTTTGATATTGGTCATCCAGTTTATGACCATTTAGTTTCATAAACTAGACAACCAATGTCAAACTAAACGGCAGCACAAACTGGGCGGTTTTTGATGAATCTTGATGGTATTTAACACTTTCTGCATGGCAATCTATTAGGCCCTAACTGAATATGTGTATTAGATTATAGATGGTAAGCTCAGTTTCTTTCCTTTTTTTCATCAAATCTGAATGAATACCCGGTCCCTAGGCCCTAGTGTATAGTTTGACTTTGAGTCATTCTATGTAGCGGAATACTATGATATTAGGTCTACGGTTGTATGCCCTCTGACTTTCCATGTTTTATTTTGCAAAATTCAAATATTGTTCATATAAATTTAGCCAGGTGTGCCGCTATTTTTTCACGTGTTCCAAAGTGTGCCGCTGGCAAAAAAGGGCTGAGAAACACTGCCCTAGTAAAACTTACTTTAAATTAAGTTACTTTAGTGGTGATATAACATCGACACGGTTTCAATTCAGATAAAAAAAATGAGCCTATTGTTGAGAAAAGGGTTATAATTTATAGGCCTTAGTGTATACTCCATGAACACTGCAAGTGCGCCCATTAAATTGGCAATTAAATGTTTGCCCGGTTCGACATTGCCACGTACGGCACAGGGACAGTTGATTGATTCACGTCGTTGACTCGTTGAACTTCAAAGTTCAGCAGTTCACGCCGAAGATGAATTGGCTGCAATCAGCTATATTCCATGCATGCTTTGTCAAATTGTTTTTAAATTTTAGATAGAGATTCTGTAACGCCTTATTTTACATAGAATAAAACTACAACATCATTTCTTACCATCATATAATAATATGTGCATATATTTTCATAAAACATATCGTCTGCATGTCCATAACAAAGATGGCTGCAACGGCTGCTAAAGAAAGACAACTCTATTTAGCAAGGGAGCAATTATTGCTTGATTCAGTTTATTCTCAGTGACTGTATAGAGTATGAAACGGCGGTTAACGTCTTGCTTTCCTACACCAACCCGTCTAATAAAGACGAGCATTGACAGGAGTGCTATAGCGTACTGTTATTTGGATTTCCGTGGCATACAAATATCAAATAAATGGACGATATTTTTTCATTGTGGGAATGTCATGGATCTGATTCTGAAATAAGAATTCCTCACAATGATAAAAAAACCAAAAAAAAAAAACCATTGACATGAATGCACATCTATAGCTTTTTAACTATACCCAGAGTCTGATGTAATTTTCATTAGCAAAGGTATAAAGGCCTCGAAAAGTTATTAATCCTCAGAAATAAAGCTATTAAAACAATAAATACATATATAAAAGAGAAACATTTTTTTAAAAAAAAAAATATGTAATTTACAAAGAATACTAGTACATTCATTTGCTAGTTGTTACATAAAAAATATTCTCTGTGATAAAAATATATATATAAATTATTGTAAACAATAACAAAGTACAATCAATTGAGTCCAAACTTTCAATATATATACATTGTATGTGTTCATCCACTTGCTATCCCCCATTTATACATACATTACAAACATACAAATGTGAATTAATATAATGCATACTATGTTAATTACTAATTGAATAAACAAAAGAAACAAATAGTGTTATGATTAGGCTACTTTTTAAATATAGATACAATTTATAATACATAAAGCTATATGGGTATTATAGCATGTATATATCATAATTAAAGTATTTATGGAATTAATTCTAGTATTGTTTATCTTAATCGAAAGGTGCATTACATTTAATATATACTGATTACACTGTAAATCATGTAAATCATAACAATAGATCCTATTATCACCAACATAACAGAAATCTTCATGCCACATTGATTAGATGTGTCCTGATATCTTTGGTAGGCACATATTCCATTCCATAAACCATAATTAACTCTATAAGGTCCAAAGGTAGGGTGACCTGTGCACCCAAAATTTTCTGTACAGAAAGTTGGTCTCGACACGGCGAATGTACATGCTTCAGTGGCATGACCATTAATTGTACCGTTGGGAGTGGCATCTTTTGGTTTAGTACAAGATCTCTGAAATACTTGCATTGGGCAAGAACATGATACTAGCACTAGTTTCATTTTACTTTTACAAGGTTCTTAAAACAATTGTTGAGTTGCCCAACGTGCGTGTTCCTAAATTAATTTTTTGTTCCAGCTTTCTGCTATGTTTCGTAAAAAAGTAGTCTTGATTATCCCGGCTTGGCAATCAAACGTAGAATGGTCGGTAGACTGGTTAAGCAAGACTACTTTCAAAACGAGGGCACATAATCTATTTTTTACTCACATATGCTCGGATGTTATGGCCTACACTCGTAACCATCTTTCAGTGTATTATTTATGGATGATTAAATGGTCATAGCTTATTAAGTACAGCATGACCGTTTATTTAGTGACTATAAATGTTTGAAACTGATTTAAGGCTAGGTGTATATATAAATATTGTGGTGTAATTGTCGAGATATTTGGAGATATTTATTTATGGTGGGGCACTCTACCAAAGTTAAACATACCCATTTTAGCAACATAGACACATAAATTTGTCGCGTTCTCTAAACGTACACATTTTAGCAACATAGACAAATTAATTTGTTGCATTTTATTGATGGATATATGTACTCCCAACAGTTTTTGCGCATATAATTTTATAAACAATTTCATTCTGACGGCCAGTTTCTATAAAGTAACATAATACTTGAAACAATGCCAAATATTCCTGATTGAGCTGATGAGAATCTACCTGACCATAAATAGCCCCCTGGTGTCCAGTTTATTGCATTTAAAAGATCGGCACATGATTGAATGATAAGAAGAAATTTATCCATTTCCTCTTCTTTCAGTTTTCGTAATTCTTTACGTATTTCTTCATTCTGTTCAGACACAGATCTGAAAGAAAAACCAATAGAATATTAAAAGAGGCTTTGTGCTTTGGAGGTTTTCACAGTTTAATAAAAAAAATTATTATGGATTTGACTATACACTTCAATCTGGTGAGTTCAAATTAAATTGTGCGCCCAAATCTGCCAGGATAGCTGTTTCAATTTACAAGTTGTTCATGTTTATAAGTCTTTTTCGGGAAGTTTAACAGACACTCCCGAACATATACTCTACCTAACTCAATAATCAGGTTATGTTTACATAATAATAGTGAGTCTAAATTCATTTTGAATATAATATTATTCAAAATGAATTCCTCTTTTATAAAGTTTTTAGACCCTTTGGGTCAAAATATAAAGTTATTGATTTCGTTGAATTTTATGAGTTTTGGGGGTTTGTAGGACAAAAATTTTTCTTTCTCCAAAAGTTTACACCAATGTTGGGATGTAACCGAAACTAAAACAAGTCAACAAACTGATTTCAGCTTCAAATCTTTTGAAAACAAAAATGTAATCCCATAGAGATTTTACTGTCACCAATCATCACAAAATATCAGATCAACCCAATTAAAAACCTAATTTTGTCCAAAATCAGAATAGGTTTCGCTGCTTCAAGATAATAAAGATAAGTTGCCAGGCAATGAAACATACACCTACAACAGCTAAATCATCCGGGGAGTCGACAAGAGTTATCACATATTTTTACTTTTTTCGGTAATGAAACATTTATAATACACTAAAATCTGATTAAGAGTAACAACTCTTTAAGTAATTATCAGAAAATCATTAGAATTTGTTTGGTTTTTATAAAGTTCTGCCCCATGCTAACGTTTAGTATACGAAACATAAAATATCATGGATTTAGCAGTATACTTGTTTGTCTCAAGACCTTAAACTCTGTGTATCAATCTAAAGTCAATCAGATGATATCTTTAGCCTCTAGAGCGTCACAAGATTTTTTAACATGATCAAGGGTCAAAACTTTGGCAGTAATTATCGGAAATCGTTGAAAATCAATAGAATTCTTCGTCTCATGACTTAAAACACTGTGTATAAATTTAAAGTCAATCAGATATTAACTTTGGCCTCTAGAGAATCCACAAGAATTTTTGAAGTGATCAAGGGCCATAGCTCTGGCAGTAATTATTGGAAATTGCTGAAAATCAATAGGCTTCTTCATCTCATGACCTTAAACACTGTATAAATTTAAAGTCAATCAGATATTCACTTTAGCCTCTAGAGAGTCCACAAGATTTTTTTGTAGAGATCAAGGGTCATAACTTTGGCAGTAATTATCGGAAAACCTCGGAAAATCAATAGACTTCTTCGTCTCATGACCTTAAACACTGTGTATAAATTTAAAGTCAATCGAATATTAACTTTAGCCTATAGAGCGTCCACAAGCAATTGTGGACGCCGGACGGACGGGGGCGACGACAATATACGACCACATTTCAATGTGGGCGTATAAAAAGGCAAGAAAAAATGTATGTTTCAAAAAAGGGAAACATATACCATTTTGATACCTCAAATTAGAACCAAATCAATGACATTCAATTAAACAGATTTTGATCTATCTTAATGTCAAATTATTGCAAAGTTTTGAAAAACATTTTATGTAGAACAATTTATTGGAACATTTACAAAACAAAATTCACATCTTCAGTAGTTAACATACCCATATTCCTCTTGGTCTAAGCAAAGTCGTTTTCTTAAATCCACTTGATTCTTTCGATTTTGCACCAGTTGTAAGACAGCTCTAAAAGAATTACAATGGGCATTTCTGTTATTATTCAACTCAATTTTTAAATTATGGAATAAAGAATTTAAATGACCATTTTCATTTTAACTTTGTATTTCTTATAATTCTTTTTTTTTTTAATTGTTATCATTCTGATAAGAAACTATGGAACTGTTCTTTTATCTATATATTTTATTTACATTATAACCAAGCTGCTATATTTAATTTGTGCAGAGATGAAAAATATAGAGTATTTACTTGATTATTTCTGCTACTAATGACACTGCCCACATAGTAACTGCTGCTGCCCAATACGGTGCTGATGATCTTTTTAGTAATTTTTTATCAGAGAACCAAGCTATATGTTCAACAACATAATAACTCTGATATAACAGATTTGTGAATATATTTAGACCCCTTAACACTGGATTTTTCTCCTGAAAATATAAATGATTATTATCATTTGTTATACATGTTTTTTATCTTTCACAAGCAGGGGTTGAGTGGCCAAATGGTTAACGTGTCGCATTTGATCAGGTCTGTCATTGAGTCAACTTCCATGGTTTTGATTCCCCACTTGTACGTGACCAGGAATTGGGGCACCTGTCCAACTTCATGGGTTTTCTCCGGGTCCTCTGGGTTCTCCACTGCTAAAAACCCCTACACACAAGCGAATTATTGAAATAAATTTGAACCATATGTTAGTCTCGAAATGACCTAGTTTGTGTTGAGTTACGTGAAACCCCATTTCTCTCTCTTTCACAAATATAATCAATATTTAAACTGTTATAACCTAGAGTGTTCTAGTTATAAGATCTTGGGTGCAAGATTTTGACTGCCCTGGTATGTGAGGCACAAAAACTTAAAGTAAATGCCAGCAGAAACTGAGAGCCAATGTAAAGATTATAGAACAGGTATTATGTGAGCGGATATTTTGATTCTGGCTGCTGTACTCTGTACTTTCTACAGCTTGTACAGACTTGTTTAAGTTATGAGATGACCTACCTTTCTTTTACAAAGTCTATATTTCATATTAACTGGAGCCAGATCCTGGCTTGACCTAGCTAACCTTGAGGTCCTGGGTGCAATCCCAGTGTTTTAGAGAAAATTATTGGATTCTCCAGCATGGTTTCCATTTGTCAGTGATGCAGGACAGAGGGCCTTGCAAGGGACAGCATCTAGTCATTCAGATGGGACAAAAAAACAAGAGTTATCTAATATTTATACCAAAGCTAGGCTAGATTAGCTGAAATCCAGACCACCTAAAACAGCTTTGGAGTTGTTCAGTACCACCACAGGAGTCATGAATGACCACTGCCAGACAATTTGTTCGGTGGGTTACCCCTAACAGGGGGGGGGGGGGGGTTTGGATGGCTGAATGGTTAGCGTGCGCGTGCTGTATCATAAAGTCTGTCATTGAGTCGACTGGCGTGGTTTCGAATCCCCAGTTGTACGTGACAAGGAGTAGGGTCGCCTGTCCAACCTCGTGGGTTTTCTCCGGGTCCTCCGGTTTCCTCCCACTGATAAAGACCCCTACGCGCAAGCGAATTATTGAAATAAAACTAAAACCATATGTTAGTCCCGAAATGACCTAGTTTGTGTCGAGTGGACGTTAAACCCCATTTCTCTCTCTCTCTCTCTACCCCTAACAGACACGCCCCAAAATGCCACGCCCCCAACTAGGCTAGCTTCGCAGGCACTGTTCCCCTGTTCTAAAAAATTAGATTTTTAGCCAGGATGCGTAGGATACTAATACCTAGCATGTATGGAAGAGGTGATAAACTGCGATTGCAAGAAATTGATTTTTGGGCAAAAAACCTGTTATGGGGCTAAAAATGCATCTTTGAAAAATAAAATTGTTCCTACAACCGCAGTTTATCGCCACTTCCATATGTGCTAGGTATCAGTATTCTACGCATCCTGGCACAATTTTTAATTTTTTGGACCACAGGAACAGTGCCGACTAATCTATCCTAGTTGGGGGTCGTGTTATTTTGGGCGTGTCTGTTAGGGGCAACCCACCGCACAAACTTTCATTCATGATTCCTGTGGTGGTACTGAACAACTCCAAGGCTGTTTTAGGTGGTACAGATGTGAGCTAATCTAGCCTAGCTTTGGTCTGGAAATTAGATAACTCTTGTCAGTGATACTCTATCACTACAACTGTCTGGCAATTACATAGCTCTATCAGGAGTACCCCACCACTAGAAATGTCTGTCAGAGTGTATTTGTAATACCTGAAGATGTACGGTACATTGCTGTGCAATTTTCATGTGGTACACTTTTGAGCTAATCTAGACTAGTTGGGGGCATGGCATTTTGGGTGTGGAATACCACACCCACCACCAGAAACCCAGCAGACTTACATTCTGATGATACCAGATATACATACATTGATACCATATAGGAGAAAATTGGTACACTTTTCAGCTAGGTTAACCCCCTGGGCTTCCGTTCTATAATCTCAACGTAATACAACATGCATTTGATTCTCACTAGCTAGATCACAAATCAGACCAATTTAACACCAATAATACAAGTATATTCCAGGGATGGCACTTATTATCTAATTCTAAGTTATGACTTACCTTTTTGCCAAGTCCATATCTCATATTAAAAGCTAACATAGCCAAGTCATCAAACAGTCTCAATGTAGTACGACATGCATTTAATTCTCCAGATACTATATTAAATTTAGTATTAATAGGAGAGTGTCCACTACCTCCAACTAACATACATATATATGTTCCCAATCGCATTACTCTATCTCTTCCTCGATATGTCTCCATCATTTTCACAAGTTGTAATGCCATGATTGTTTTTTCTTTGCTTTATATTACTTCAAAAACACAAACTGGGGCTTCTCCTATCTCTTCTTTCCAACAATATTATTCTTTAAGGAAAAAGACAAAAATCAATTATTGTTAAAATTGATTGCTTAACCTTTAAAAGTAGGCCTAATGTACTGTAGGCTATAAATTATAAAATTATTTGAAAAGGTTTTGAAATTTTTCATTGTTCTTAAAATAAAATAGAGCTGCTTTAAATCTAGTCTACAAATTTGTACATGGCATAAAAATTGAGAACAATAACTGTTGGCCTATGTTGTGTATCTGGTTAAAATAATGAATTTAGAAGTATATATGGATCTAATTTAATAAAATTACCATATATGCAGTCTATACTCTACTGGTACCCTAAAAGTTGCAGAACTTCCTCTCTCAACCAAAGTGAGAAAAGAAAAGCAACCTGCAAGTTCTATATTTGTAATCAACAAGTCAAAGTCCAATTCACGTATGACATCATTTGCATAAACTTATAAAGGTAAGTTTCCAGGTCACATAAAATTATAAAGGAAGAGCTCATAAACTTTCCTCTACCTATCTTATTAAATGGAAGACATCGGTAGTTCTAACATGGTTTCAATATCCGTAATACAAATTCTGATAGCAATGAAAAAGCTCAAGCTCAGCCGTTTACCAAATTTTAGTTAGTTTTTTTGTTCACAATATGATGTCCAGCGATTGAGTGAAGTGAGTTAACTAAAGGAAAAAGCGTATAATCTAACATAATTTTTTATTAACAGCAAAAAACTACCATCAAATTAGTCAGGTGAGCTTCCTTCGTGAACTGTCATCCCAAACAGATAAGACTGTTAACTCCAACTTTCTTGTTTCACTTTAGTAGGGGCGATCGTTTATTTTAATAACATCATGACAACCTTCAGTGCTCATTTGCTGTAAGCGAAAGTAGCGAACGGGGGGTAACTCTTGCACAGAAATGGTCTCAGACTAGCAATTATTTGCCCATTGACTTCAATGTTAAATGACTGTAACATCACAGGCTGTAGCTTTTTGCTCAACATTCCGTTGGTTCCAATCTTTATAGGCACAATGGGGACAACATTTGGCAATTTCCTCATCATAATTTTGTAGGGGGTTGACCATTTAGATTTTTTGCTACACGGATTTGAAGTTGACAGGGGTGAAAATCTCACTTCCGACACAATGATTGCTCTGCAGAAAGACACTTTACACCCCCTATCCCTCCGCTGTAATATCATCAGTATTACCCAAAACTGCTATGAAATTGCAAATTTGATCCCTTTTCTCCAATTCTAGACCAAAAAGTCAACCCAAAAATGCAGGAAGAGGGGAGAAAAAAATTAAGGGAAAAATTGTCTATCCATCATGAAATAAGGGGAAATAATTACTAGTCTTAGTCCAAATAAAGCGATTCAGTCGAAGTTTCCCATTGGCATTCTTATCGAACCGAGCGGAATCTTTCACCCGTATTCCAGCACCCGGATTCGAAATCAAGTTAGACACATATTCTCTCACCCGTATCCATCACCCGGATTAGAGATCAAGTTAGCCTACAAATTCCTAGCGCCAAGAAAACCTAGATATAATTATCACGAAAATAATTGTTACCTTTATATTAGAAAATAAAATTTTAAAACATATTAATGCAAAGTATATATGTATTAGATCCCCCGACCCCACCCCACACCCCAAAATACACTATTACCGTAAACATACTAAAATATCGCACATAAGGCTAACTGAGCATGCAAAAAAGGGGTACGTCCACGCTGCATCAAAAAGCACCCAAACTAGATTTGGTGGGAAAATGTTTTTTGTTTCACGGAATCAAGAGATGAATAAACTACTAGAATACAAACTTTCATAAGCTTCCTATGCTGGCTTTTCGAGATATATCACCGTAAACATACTAAAACTATGGGGCAATCGGGTACGGGTAGGCTCATCGCGCACGCAAAAACTTCTAACCTAGCTTTGGTGACATCGAAATCGTTATTTCACCAAATCGACAGATGTATGAACATGCCAAATTTTAATTACTTTCTATGTTGGCGTATCGAGTTATACCACCGCAAAGTTCCTAGCACCCGGATTCGAGGCACTGTTCGTGGGTTCAATAAACAAGGGGTAAGCCCAAGCTGCATCAAATATCACCCTAACCATCTTTGGTGGCAAAATGTGTTTTGTTTCACCGTGTTAAGGGATGAATGAACTACTAGAATCCAAAAATCCACAAGCCTCCTATGCTGGCTTTTCGAGATATATAACCGTAAACATACTAAAACTATGGGGGAATCGGGTTAGGATAGGCACACCGCGCATACAATAACTTCAAGTCTAAACTATAGCTTTGGTGGCTCCAAGATCTTTATTTCACCAAATCGACAGATGGATAAGGTATGAACATGCCAAATTTCATTAACTTTCTATGTTGGCGTATCGATTTATACCACCGCAAAGTTCCTAGCACCCGGATTCGAGCCGGCGTTCGTGGGTTCAATAAACAAGGGGTAAGAATAAACTACTAGAATACAAACTTTCATAAGCTTCCTATGCTGGGTTTTCGAGATATATCACCGTAAACATACTAAAACTATGGGGCAATCGGATAAGGGTAGGCTCATCGCGCACGCAATAACTTCTAAACTAGCTTTGGTGACATCGAAATCGTTATTTCACCAAATCGACAGATGCATAAGGTATGAACATGCCAAATTTTATTAACTTTCTATGTTGGCGTATCGAGTTATACCACCGCAAAGTTCCTAGCACCCGGATTCGAGGCACTGTTCGTGGGTTCAATAAACAAGGGGTAAGCCCAAGCTGCATCAAATAGCACCCTAACCAGCTTTGGTGGCTCCAAGATCTTTATTTCACCAAATCGACAGATGGATAAGGTATGAACATGCCAAATTTCATTAACTTTCTATGTTGGCGTATCGATTTATACCACCGCAAAGTTCCTAGCACCCGGATTCGAGCCGGCGCTCGTGGGTTCAATAAACAAGGGGTAAGCCCAAGCTGCATCAAAAAGCACCCAAACCAGCTTTGGTGGCAAAATGTGGTTTGTTTCACGGAGTTAAGGGATGAATGAACTACTAGAAACCCAAAATCCACAAGCCTCCTATGCTGGCTTTCGAGATATATTACCGTAAACATAATAGAACTATGGGGGAATCGGGTTAGGATAGGCATACCGCGCTCACAATAACTTCTAAACTACCTTTGGTGGCTCTAAGATCTTTATTTGGCCAAATCGTTTTTGATGCAGCGTGGGCGTACCCGTTGTTTATTGAACCCGCAAACTCCACCTCGAATCCGGGTGCTAGGAACTTTGCGGTGGTATAACTCGATACGTCAACATAGAAAGTTAATGAAATTCTGTCGATTTAGTGTAATAAAGTGTAATAAAGACTAAGTAAGGCACAGACTGACCATTATAAGGGTAAAATGATACCCGGGGTCAAACAGCAAAGTTACCACAGCATCACAACCAAGTCAGTAACGGGTAAATCCTCCTCTGTTTGCCAAACAAGCATTGATCCGACGTGGCATACTCCTAATGAGACGTCATTTTGGTCCAGATTGTCCCATTCCTGTTGCAACGCAGCAGCAAGTTCTTGGACATTGGCAAGACGTTGTTGACGTTGACGTAACCTCTGTCCAAGCATGTCCCAGACATGCTCGATGGGGGAGAGGTCGGGACTCAGTGCTGGCCAAGGTAATGTGGTGATGTTCTGTTGTTGGAGGTAACCTGTAACGACCCTGGCCCTGTGACATCTTGCGTTGTCATCCTGGAAGATGAAACGGCGGCCATGACGTCGTGCGAACGGCACAACATGGACTGCCAAGATGTTCTCCCGGTAGTACTGGCCTGTAACACGCCCTGCAACAACATGCAAAGCCGTTCTTCCAGCAACAGTGATGCCTCCCCACACCATAATCGATCATGTCTGATGACGTTAACGTCTTGGAAGCGCTCGTTTCGACGACGCCACACCCTCCTACGTCTGTCCAAAAAATCAACAGTGAACCTTGACTCATCTGAAAACATCACATTGCTCCAGCGTCGATTATCCCAGTGTTGACGATCCCTACACCAACGACGTCTTGCCTGAATGTGATGATCTCTCAAACAAGGGATCACGCGAGGACGTCGGGCGCGAAGGTGACCCCTATGCAGTCGATTCCGAATCGTCTGGCCACTCACTCTCACACCAGTGTCTGTTTGAAGACGAGCGCTGATCTGATTTGCTGTGATGACACGATTTCTCAAGGCCAAGGTACGGATAAATCGATCCTGGGCTTGAGTTGTCGCCCTTGGTCGACCTGAGCGTGGTCTGTCCTGTACAGATTGTGTATCACGGTATCTGGACCATAGCCTGCTTATGACAGACTGAGAAACATTCATCGTCCGCGCCACAACCGCCTGTGTTGTGCCGATCTGTAGCATGCCAAGGGCACGTAACCTTTCATTTTGGGTAAGCCGACGCATATCAAAATTTGTTTTCTGGTCACTAAAACAATTAAACTGATGTTTCCACCCTGGAATTCAATGCCACAATGATTGTAACATTCAAAGTCAGAGTCGTGCAAATCTTGGGTTGGACCCCCATGATGATCCCAAGCATCACATGCATTCCATGCGGTAGCTATTGGTGCGTTTGGGCGTCACATGTAACTGGAAATGTTTCTTCTGTTAGGTTCTATAGTGACTTTTTTCGTAGTCATTTGCATATTTTAGTATTATGCCCCAAAAATCAAATATCCCCTACTTTTTTTGAATAGTATAGTAATAGTATACGTGTCAATTAAATATATCTAGAATAATAGCCGAGAGAGACACGTTATATTTACCAATCAAATCCATATGACGGCCATAAAACTTTTTAAAGGTTTTAATAAGTTTAGTGCGCAAGTATCCTTGTAGTTGAAGCTTAGATGACAAATATCTCGAAACGCCAGCATAGGAGCCTTCTGAAATTATGTATTCTAGTAGTTTATTCATCTCTTGATTCCGTGAAACACTGGTTTGGGTCGTTTTGTGATGCCGCGTGGGCGTACCCGTTGTTTATTGAATCCACAAACTCCGCCTCGAATCCGGGTGCTAGGAACTTTGCGGTGGTATAACTCGATACGCCAACATAGAAAGTTCATTAAATTGGGCATTTGCATACCTTATGCATCTGTCGATTTAGTGAAATAAAGATATCGAAGCCACCAAAGCTAGTTTAGAAGTTATTGCGTGCGCAGTGAGCCTACCTCAAGCCGATTCCCCCATATGTTTAGTATGTTTACGGTAATATATCTCAAAACGCTAACATAAGAGCCTTCTATTTTAGTATGTTTACGGTAATAGTATACTTTGGGGTGTGGGGTGGGGTCGGGGATCTATTACATATATACTTTGCATTAATATGTTTTAAAATTCTATTTTCTAATGTAACAATTATTTTCGTGATAATTATATCTAGGTTTTTCTTGGCGCTAGGAATATGTGGGCTAACTTGAACTCGAATCCGGGTGCTGGAATACGGGTGAGAGAATGTGTGCTAACTTGATCTCGAATCCGGGTGCTGGAATACGGGTGAGAGTTTCCGCTCGGTGGTCATTTTGGTGGTTGCTCTAGAGACCAAGCGGTCATAAGACGAAGGGGATCACGTGGCAAAGTGGGTAAGGCGCTGGCTCGCTAGCCTGGAGGTCGGGTGTTCGATCCCCGCATTGGATGAGAAAGTTCATCTCGATTTTCCGGCGTGGTTTCTCGAATAACAAGACACTAAGACGGACACGGGTCCTCTGCGTTTGACCGTTTTCTGACCGAGCAGTGTGCGACAGGACCAAGGTAAATCCACTGATCAACACCAAATAGTATTTTATAAAAAATGGTGGCTTCGCGCAAAAATTAAAGTATACGAAAATTATATTAATTTTTATGAACTGCGGTGTTAGGCAGCTAGTGCAGTGTGTCGGTTTCCGTCTTAGTGTCTTGTTATTCGAGTCGGTTTCCGTGTTAGTGTCTTGTTATTCGAGTCTAAATAGTCATAATGACGTCATAACACCTGGCTCCAGTGGATGGAAAAAAACGCTTACCATATTAAATTGTATATTTGCCGTAAATAGGTCACCCAGACCAATTTACGGCACTCAAATGTTAAAGGTTTGGATGTCGTAAATGGTGTCGTAATTCGTGAGACGCGAGTCAAATAAAACAACGTGTTTTAATTATCAATATCTACCTGTTGTCATAATTCGTTGTTAATCAAATAAAACACAAAAACCGTTTTAAGAATCGCATTAATTTTTAATCTCAAAGTAATAACGAAATATTTGAAAAAAAAAACAAAAAAAAAACCAACAAAAAACTGAAAAACAGAGTGGGTGGGGTCAGTTGGTGTCAAAAAGTTTTTAGATCCCTGACAGAGTCTCTGTATCATTGATGATAATTAAGTGAATTTGGTAAAAAAATTAATATATAAATGGAAATTTGATTTGCACTGAAGCAAATAGAAAGGCAGCAGATGCTCTGAAAATACACCAAGAAAGGTTGAATTTTAATAAAACACCACGCCCCCCTCCAAAAATTTTTTTTTACTCGCTCCGCTCGGTAGATATTTTTTCTACCACTCAGCAAATCCTGGCTACATCCCTGTATATTATAGATGTTTCATTACTGACTAAAGAAAAAAATATGCGACAACTCCTGTAGATGCCTTTCGACAAAAATATTACAATTCAGACGAATTTTTAGATAAGAGTGTTAAAATGTATCTTCATATCTTGAGAACTTTGTTTAATATAGTGGAAACTGTACAGCCACATTTTAAATACAAACTCAACAGTATCATAGAAACACGCGAGACATAAATTCAAATCAAAACAAAATAATTCGAAGCACCTTGTTTGATTTTCCTTTGATTATACTTTAGCTATATTAACTGTTTGTGTGTTTGACATTCTGTCTAAAACATGACCTAATGGCTGAACTTCCTCTGTTTGCATCTGGACATTCCCAGCATGCATCAGTGGTATGGCCATGAGAGCTCCCATTTCGTTTCCTTGCGGTTCTTGGTGAATATAGAACTGGAACTGTAAAACAAGAAATAACACTTAAAGAGAAGCTATCCTTGTGCAAAAACCATTTAAAACTGTTAAGAATTTTTTTGAAACTTACATAAATATTTGTTATATTTTTTGACGTATTTTGCTGTTTTCATGGGCACCGCCATTACCGTTTGTCACGTGAAGTTTTGACGTCATCGGGGCTCAACTCGACGCCAAAGCCCATAAATAATGGCTTACTGTGTGTCAAATTTTGTCAAACTTCACCAAAAACTAAATTCTCATTAGTTCGGTTGTGATTAATTCGCAACAAAGAAAATTAATATTCATTATGAAGACAGTAGACAGTGGTTATGGCAACAACTATTAGGCCTAGTCTACATATACCCGATTAAAAAAAAACACCCAAAAAACAACTAATTCTGCTGCGCGCATCGGACATAGGCCAGTTGACAATTCCGCTGGTCGAACAATTTGTATCGCAAATTTGTATCGGGACTTTATTATGACCGTAAAGCTTCACTACTTTGTTTCACGGTAAACGATGAAAAAGATAAAAGTTATGCCGACACAAACTGACTTCAAAACTGGTTTAATAACAGTTTAACATTTTAAAAGTAATTTTCGCTCGATTTGGAGCTATTTATAAATAATGTCAGTGTTTAGAGATGGACAGAATACTATAATTTATACATATTTACATAGAAACACACATAGTACATAGGTAACTAACAGAAAACATGTGTACACGTGTGTTAATCTGTTGTATATGGGTATAGTTTCGGAACAATGAGTGGGAAATACTCTCGAGATAAATTAAGATAATTAATTGACTATGAAGTCGAGGAACGTATTTTTTATTAATAAGGTTTACCATTATTTTTCTTTTTGTTATGTCATCGACTTTCATTTTATAAAACTGGAGAAAAAGGAATTTTATTTGCAGGTGTTGTGCACATATGTGTCTATTTACAAATAAGGGCCCATTTACAATGTTGCAATCCCGTCGATGGTTGTGTACTCTATCCCTTAGATCTGTGCCCGTTTCTCCGATTTGCCGTTTAGAAACATAAAAATCTGACAGCTCTTGGGTGATTTTAAAAAACATTTTTCTACTTACTTCAAAGGGTTGAGTACCAGCGATTCGGTGACCCTTAAAAATCAAATGCCCCGCCGCTCGCCTCTCCATCATATCAAGTGTAATGTTTAAAGTTTGACTGACATATGTCAGTTTATTCATATCTGAAGAAAAATAAAAATAACGAAATACGATAAACTTTACCATGGCCCAATTAAAGTGTAAAACCAGCATTATTGCAAATATTTGTTTGTTTCCGTGCATTTCATCCCGAATCATTTTAGGGGCTTAGTGAAATTAGACCTTTTGTATGGCATTACTGTGGCGCTTGAATTGCATTGAACAAAATAGTCCAGTCAATTTATGAAAAAAGGGGGTCAACCCCTCAAAAATTGCAAGAAAAGGTTTTTTCGTGGTTTTTGGTAGCGTTGGGTGTACTGAATGACATCCTAAAGATTTACCAAAATTGGAGTACCGGAAAGTCCCAAATTTTTAGGGTAAAGTTTGGGATTTGAACCATTTTCCTTAAAAAGGTACAACTTTAGACAAACAAAAAGTCGTCAATTATTAAGAGAAACACATAAAACTGACGCCATGCATTAGATTGTCGGGGTCAAACTTTTATTTGGCATGGTTTTGGTAGGTTGACGGTGCTCTCTTGAATCATTTTCGGGGATTTCATTACCCGAGAAACATGCTGCCCAGAATCCAAATTTATAAAGGGGCATAACTATGCATTGTTTTATCATAAAATAGCAATTTTAGTCTCAAAATTAATATTTTTGGGCCATTATTTCATTTGAAGATATGCGTGGTGGTGTTAAGTGGTTCCTTATACCATTTTCGCGAATCCGCTACCCCGAAACATGTTGACGCGAACCCAAATTTACGTATATTCGTAACTGCACTTCTTCGTCACTTAAAGGACAATATTGGTGCCAGTCATTATCACATATGTGATAGAGCTGGTTAAACACATTCCAAATATAATTTTAACACAGAGATCATTGCTGCGATAGCTGAGTAATACAGGTTTCCTGAATCGGAAGTGACGAACGCCAAAGCGATAAGAAAGTATAAGGCCATAGAGGAGTAGAAGAAAGGTGACAATGGAATCGAGCGCCCTCGATATGGACGTATAATAACTGAGATTTTCATTATTTTGGACTGGGTTTGAGGAAACTTTGTCTAACGGGGGCGCTTACTTTGTCTCCCCCCCCCCCCCGTTACGATGTTTCGTTTACATTGGTTAGGCAAATGTCAGCCATCTTGGATTTTACCAGATTTTACCGCTTTAAGGGACAAGTGAGGGCCACAGGATATATCTTCAAATGTAAGAATGACCCCAAAAATATGAATTTACATGTTCATGTTACACTTATAGGGTCTTAAACCAAACGTTTAGAATTTTCTTGTACATTGATTTGACAAATGTTGGCCATCTTGGATTTTATTTATTTTTACCACTTTAAGGGACCAGCTAACACTAGGCTACTTGCTATATCTTCACATGAAAGAATGACACCAAGAGCATTAATTGATATGTTCATTTTAAATTAATAGGGTCTTAAAAACCAACCATGTAGATTTTTTGTGTACATTGGTTAGGCAAATGTCAGCCATCTTGGACCTTACCAAATTTTACCGCTTTAAGGGACCATTGAACACCACAGGTTGTATCTTCAAATGAAAGAATGGCCCCAAAACATTAATTTACATGTTCATATTACAATTATTGGATTTTCTTCTACAATGATTTGATGAATGCCGGTCATCTTGGATTTTACTTATTTTTACCACATTAAGGGACCGGTTAGCACTACTGGCTACATCTTCAAATGAAAAAATGACCTCAAAAGCATTAATTTATGTGTTTATAATACATTTATAGGGTCTTAAACCAAAAGTTTAAGGTTTTCTTGAATATTGATTAGGCAAATGTCGGCCATCTTGGATTTTACCACTTTCCGGTGCGCAACATTTGGTAAACTTTTTGGATTTTATAAAGTACACCTAAATAAACGCAAAAATACATAAAAACGTTTTCTTGCAATTTTTTGGGGGTAAAATCATAAATTGACTGGACTAAAATTGCTACTGTCTGAAACGTTGTAAATTTTAAACGGATTTCTTCGATTATGAACAAACTATCGAAGCCTATAACAACCATTCATAATTTCTACTTTTCGCCTCTTCAAAACACGAAAGTCGAAAAGTAGAAGTTACGACAAAATGTGAGGCGACAACACGCTATACAAGCCAAAATCAACTCGAGAATAGGAAATTAAGAAATAACACACAGCGAGAATAGCGCCCCTCGTTTTTTCCTAATTTCTTATTTTCGACTTGCATTTTGGCTTGTATACCGTCCTTTCGACTTGGTCATATTTTTGTATTTATTGATATCATTAAGAAGGCGCCAACACGCTATACAAGCCAAAATCAACTCGAAAATAGGAAATTTATTAATAACACACAGCGATAATAGCGCCCCTCGTTTTTTCCTAATTTCTTATTTTCGACTTGCATTTTGGCTTGTATACCGTTTTGCCGACTTTCGACTTAGTCATATTTTTGTATTTATTGATGACAGTAAGAAGGCGCCAACACGCACACCAAGCTAAAATGCAACTCGAAAAGTAGAAATTAGGAAATAAACACACGCGACCTATCATTTTGGCTTGCTGTCGTACTGGCGACTTTTCGCATTTAAATACAAGCATTCAAACTACTTATGCCTGCAGCCAAAATTTCTAGCGTGAAGTTCCGCTACACGGTCCTCCCAAATAAACAAACTATACATTTTTTGAAAGCTTTTAACACCAGGAACACAAATCCAGAGAGTTCCAAGCAAAAAGTCTGCTCTTACTCGATTGAGGGCCAGATGAAAATTGTGTTAATTGTCAAGTAAATGCTATGTTTATATTAATAATTGTGAAGTTGACATAAATCTAAATATTGGCGAAAACAACCGATGCCTTCATCCTATGCAAAGAATATGCTGTTGGTTAAATTTTGATATAAAGCAAAATGCCGAAAACATAATGGACAAGGAAACATACATTATTTCGGACACCAATTATGGTAAAAGAGTTATCTCCCTTTACGGAAAATATCAATAATTATTGATAACAGTAAAGGGATTATATTACAGACAAGGGCCTATATAATTTCAATCTTTTTTTTCAGATAGAATTTGAAGCTAAAGGTCTAACAAATATTTAACCTAAAACATAGCATCTATAGATATTTAGTTTTCTCACTAAAATAGATATGGCCAAAAATAAATAATACTGTAATAGGAGTGACAACATTGTAATGAAGAAAAAAGAAATCAAAAGGAATTTAATGTCTTACTGTTCTCCATCAACTCGTATAATGAAGATGGGCTTATGTCGTACATTATTGTTTGAGTGGGGGGGGGGCATTGTACGTGTACAACTAGTATATTTCCCCTTGTCCGTGGCTCACTAATCAGGAGGTCCGGGGTATGATCACCGTGTTGACCTAGACAGTTCCCCAAACTTTCCAGCGTTGTTTCACCTTGTCAGTCGTGCAGGTAGCAGTGGCGGCGCCAGGGTGGGGGGGGCAAGGCCCCCCCCCCCCCATTAATCTGGTCTGCCCTCTGTTTGCCCCCCCCCCCAATAATTTTAGAAAATAAGAAAAAGTATTTGTGATACGTTTCGGTACATTAATACCTTCTACGGTGAATAAATCCCACATCCCCACTCAGTCATAAACTTGCATGTTGTAGAGCATTTCCGACAGTCTATTTTTCAAAATTTTCTTGGCGAGGTCCCCAATGGACTCGCTACTTTGGCGCTCACAAGGGGAATTCGTTGAGGTTCGCAAGTCCGTTTGTTTGACATTTTGTTCTAGGGGAGGACTCCCTACTTTGACGCTCGTGAGTTGGCTTCGTCGTGATTCGCAAGTCCGTTCGTTTGACACTTTACCTCATCGATCAGTGCCTGAAATACTGCTAGGCTGCATTTTCGGCAACCTGTTTTTCAAACTTTTCTGGGGGAGGCCCCCTACCCCTAGTTGAAGCTCGTGCATTTGCCTCCTTAACCTTGGACTTTGCCCCAGCTTTGCCCCTCCAATCACCGACGGCTGGCGCCGCCACTGGCAGGATGTGGGGGTGGGAGGGGGCTATGGTGGGCTGGGCAGCGTCTAGTTATTCGGATGAAATATAAAACTGAGGTCCCGTGCACACGCGTTGGCGTGCACGTAAAAGAACTTTAAATTCGAAACAAAGTGTAGACCGTAACGTTGCTGTTTGGATCAAATTCCCCCTATAGCATAATGTATGGCGGGCGTATGTACATCTTCATTATACCGGTTGATACCGAACAGTTAGGCATTAAACTCCATTTGATTTTTCTTTTCTCTTCATTACAATTGCCACTCCCATACAGTATTATTTAGGTTTTGCCATATATCTATTTTAGTGAGAAAATTACATATAGATGCTTTGTTTGAATTCAAATATTTAGCCCCAAATCTTATCTGAACTAAAAGTTTACTGATATATTAGTAGAAATACTGTTTTGGGAGAACTTATATATTAGTAGAAATACTGTTTTGGGAGAACTTATATGACCCCCCCCCCCCCACCTCCCAGATTCCCAGATTCCTTGAACCGTCCATTTTTCGGGAAATGTATTTCAGTTTTTTGGGCACAAACATCAAAGAATGGAGAATGCAACCAATTGTATAATTGTCTAATTAATTAAAAAAAAAAAAAACAACGATAACAGCTTTGTGGAAAATTCAATTTAGTTAATAATTGATTCATTCAGAAAATTTGGGTGACAAAGAAATTTTTCGGGCAAAAAGGCTCAGCTCCCCCACCTAAACGCCAACTCGCAACTGAGATTGACCTCTACACCCCCCCCCCCACCTCCCAGATTCCCAGATTCCTTGAACCGTCCATTTTTCGGGAAATGTATTTCAGTTTTTTGGGCACAAACATCAAAGAATGGAGAATGCAACCAATTGTATAATTGTCTAATTAATTAAAAAAAAAAAAAACAACGATAACAGCTTTGTGGAAAATTCAATTTAGTTAATGATTGATTCATTCAGAAAATTTGGGTGACAAAGAAATTTTTCGGGCAAAAAGGCTCAGCTCCCCCACCTAAACGCCAACTCGCAACTGAGATTGACCTCTACACCCATGTAGCCCCTTAATTACCTTTTGTTCAATCCGATTCAGTTTGTTGAATCAAATATTGTTTAAATTATTGTTTCCCCTCCCATCCGAACGACTGGACATTGTCCTTCCAGCCCACTCCCATCTCGTACCACTGACTTGGGCGCACCGGGGTTGTCTTGTACATGTACATATCTAATCTGTCTAAGTGTAGTAAATGTGAAATGAAACAGAAAGACTGTTAAAGAAATAGAACTTGATGTTTATACATGTAGTGACAGTGATGATGATAACGACCAACTTTGATGACATTTAAAGTGCAGAGTAACTGCGTAATTTTGATTTTTAATAATTGTTTTACTTCCATAAATAATTAGTTTTTTTCTTATATCTATATTTGTTAGCAAATTACACAATTGTAGATACGGTTTCAGTTTAAATGTTTGTAATTCGGCCATTAATATCTGAACTAGAGGTTTACAGCTACCTGTAGTAAAAACAATGTAGGGTCTAATTGAAAGGGTATGTTGGTGTGGGTTTATGTTTTAGTGAAAAAAATCACATGATTTCAATGCGATTTACAAAACTACGGACAGAGTCCGTTCTCCATTACTTCATAGATATATTGTTCAACCAATGTCAACATATATTCTTGCTCATCAGACTAGGCGTTCCGCCCATAATTTCTGGTTAAACACCCGCTCACCAATCCTTGCAGCCCCCTGGGACCCCATTAACGATATAAATATTGGGCTTGTGTGCTCACACATGGTCTTGTGCGTCATACAGCATCAGCAGTCAACACACACCTGAAATACTGTTATCAATTGCAGACATTTGACAGAAAGGGAGATAACTCCCTATTACCGTTAATGGATTTTCAAAATTCTGTATGTTCCCTTGTGCATTATGTTTTCTGCATTTTGGCTTAAATCAAAATTTAACCAATAGCATATTCGTTGCCGATGATGAAGGCATTGGGTGTTTTCGCCAATATTTAATTTTATGTCAACTTCACAATTGTTAGTATAAATATAGCATTTACTTGAAAATTATCACAATTTTCATCTGGCCCTAAATCGAGTTAGTGCAACATTTTGCTTGGAACTCTCTGGATTTGTGTCCCTAGTGTTATAAATTTTCCAAAAATGAATAGTTTGTTTATTAGGGAGGACCATGTAGCGGAATTGTGTTTCTAAGCAAAAGAGAAATTTCGGCTGCAGGCCTAATATAGGGTTCGTCTTCTCACTGCACCAATGCTTCATACCAAATTTTAATCAAATCTGTTTTGTTTTAAAACTATCGCGTTAAGGAGGTGTTCAGCAAAGAGGAGGTAACTCTGGAGGCAACTGGAGCGTTAAAAATCCATACGATTCGCCTTCTTGTAACTGTGGCCTCTATCGTGTTAAGGTTTTCGGAGAAGGCGGGGGGGGGGGGGGGGGCGGTAACTCTGGAACTGAATGTCGCGGGGTGTAGAATATCAATCTGGTTCATCCTTCCTTAATCACGGTGCTTTACACCAAATTTGGAAAGAATCCGTCAAAAGATTTGAACGACCGACGGACGTAGTGGCGACATAATACGCACCCACTGAAATGTGACCGTATAAAAATGACCACATGCACTCTCAACACCCTAACACAGTGAACTCATTACCTCACGTTTTCAAGATAAAAATGTGATGAGTGAACGTAAAGCAAGTTTACATAAAGCGCTCTAAAAGGATGTATTTTTGTTGATATTAGGACATGTCACTCCAGTATGAGACCCATATATCCTCCAATAAGTGTCCAATTTGATGAACGAAACTAACATACCATTTCCTGAATAAGTAAGTCGACATTTATATAGGTTCTTGTATCCAATGTCTCCTATTGGTGCTCTTGTGGTACCAACTAAAGCTGATAATGGTATAAGTTTACTCGCTGTATATTCTACAAATGCTTCAAGAGAATACAAAAGTGTAACCTCAACTTTTGTTCCAAGTCGCTCTAAAGATCGTACTACCCTCTCAACAGATGAAGCAATGTCGTTGGCGCCAGATCTTCCTTTCACGACTGAAAATAATGATAGATTTTGTACAATTCATTTTAGACCCCCTCCACCCCCCCCCCCCCCAAAAAAAACGAAAAAAATACACAAACAAACACCACAGGGGATACAAAGTTCGAATACCATGTTGAAACTATTGTATTTTTGTTGAGTTACAAATTTGATTCAACAAAATTGACTACTGACGAAAAAACTGTTTTATGTGGTTCATCTACTGACTGAAGAGAAAATCTACACCGGCTTTAGACCCAGGAGAGGTGAAAATGTTTTCTTAACAAACACCACAGGGGATACAAAGTTCGAATACCATGTTGAAACTATTGTATTTTTGTTGAGTTACAAATTTGATTCATCAAAATTGACTACTGACGAAAAAACTGTTTTATGTGGTTCATCTACTGACTGAAGAGAAAATCTACACCGGCTTTAGACCCAGGAGAGGTGAAAATGTTTTCTTAAATTTTAATCAAATGTTTACATAAAACTAATACGTACTCAAGATAACACATGGTTTTCCAACAATCTGTAAAAAATGTAAAGAAAATGTTGACGATCACTTTAATGGGACAGAGTGTATTTCATAATTTAGAATTTTGTTGATCTGGGTCAGTAAGCTTAGTAAAATTAATTCTTTTTAATTTACCTCTATTATAGTTTCGTTTCTGATAAAAAGTGCTTGATGTTGCGAGTAACTTTTGTCACATGTTAATACAAGCGTAATCTACGGACACAACCGTCTTAATACAGTAAGATATTCACAAAGCAAATTAACAAATATGGGTAACACATTCAGCCAGACTAAACAGCTTATCTTTCCTTGTCAATTAACCGATTGTTTCGACGACTTGTTTACCGTTATGTGCACCAGTAGAATCGTGATTTTATACTAGTCCTTCATTAATTATCAGCATCTGACATATTTGTTCATGTTAACCATTCCCCGTAGGAAAGATCTCCATGTTAAAATTGTATTTGAAATATGTTTAACCAGTTCTATCACAGGCGTAATATTAGTGGACACCAACATTTTCCTTTACAACAATATGGAAAAAGTAAACTCACTTTAAAGGCATCTTCCGCCAACAAGTTGTTCATCGGCATACTCTGAAAGATGGTATAGATTGACGATAAAACTTCTATGGTATTGTCTGTTGTAGCTGTTGGTCTCTCTAAATTAACCATGATATTGTAGTACTTGCTGTTGGCGTCTGGATGTTGTGCCGTGTGTTGTTGATGGTACTGTTGGTTGTGTTGTTGGGGGGGTGATTGAAAATATGAATTCGACCTGTGTTTCTCTACCAAAGTATGTCCAACCATTGGGTGAGACAAGGGTTTACCGATGGGGTGATTTTTTCCAATAGATGCACCGCTGACTTCCATGGGAGAAATAGCGGCTGGTCCTGGATGCTCGTTGGTTTTGGCAGCTTGTTGATAAGATACCGAAATCCAACATAAAAATGCTCCAAGATAGAATTCAGACCGTAGAAACATCTCTATATTTTCTGATCTCTAGATGGATATGAACCCTTTTGATTTCTTTATGCTGATTTATGTTAACGGAAATTAAAGATGTTAGTGTAATGAAGACCAATCGGTGAATAGTTCAAAACTTTGTCGATTTCTCGCTGTATACGTCATGATATTTTTTAATTTTACGACATATGGTGATTGATCGCACAAGTATTTTCCCTTTGGTCATGAACAGAACACTTTGCTATATTCTGTGTAACAATAAGCCACTTGTGAAACTTTTATGTGACTGATTACCCCTACCTTCTTCGCTGACAAATATCAGTCAGATTGTCTTCATTAGCTGTCGTGTTAACTTATTAAATATTCAAACTTCGTCAAAACTTTCCGCATTTATTTCTATTATCTATTGTTTTAGGCCATTTGTCAATAAATTTAGTACCACGTGTATTCTAATCGTGTACATTTATGAAGAAGCAATTTTCAAGTATCAATGGGTGCTTGGCCTAGTGTGTGTGGAAAAACTGCATATAACTTCCGCTTCTACCGAAGTGATGTCGCCGACAATGACACATTTTAATATATGTATATATATAAAAATAAAGGTTAAAAATGCCTAAAGAAAGTATTATTGTTTAATTGTCTACATGACGTTTCGCCTGAGCTTGTCAAGACATGAATAACAATAACAATGACGTGACGTCATGGAAGAATACACATACAATAATATAATAATAATGAAGTAGATAATATATATAGCATAATATTGTAATTATTTTTAAATGTTTAATTTGGGATTAAATTTGTCAATAAAATATTGTTCCTTCAATCTCATTTTTATGGGATCTGAATACGGCATCTTAAAGAAAGGGTATATTTTGAACTCGCCTTAAATTTGGTTCCCTGATAATGTTGTCTATGAAAGGTTACTCTGTTTTGTAACTTGTTCGTGCAACCGATGCACAGTTCGGCACAGCCACTACATTTTATGACATTATAATACATGAGTTACTTTACAGTTCATACTTTTATTGACAAAAAATTATTTTCCACTGTCAAATATAAATGATTTACCTTCAGTTAAATATTTACACGTGCCGCAATTATCCCTTCCACATTTTACAACTTCCTTAATTGGACTGAATGATTCAAATAGTAACGTATAGTAACGCATTAAAATGGCCTGACGATTCGTTTGATAAAGATGGAAGTACTAGCCAGAAATTTAATTTTATAATGTTGCATTTTCATTTTTATAATATTGTTTCAAAAATAAATGTGAAGCTATAAAGAAAAGAATTTTGATGATATCTGAACTTATAAAACCATATGGCCACAGATCACTAATGATTTCCCGATTGTCTACCGAAGTGATGTCGCCGACAATTTTGATGATATATGAACTTATAAAACCATATGGCCACAGATCACTAATGATTTCCCCATTGATTTTAATGTTAATTCTCGTCTCTGCTTAGACCGGCTCTAACTTTTTCCCAAATTTTCGTTGGGTAGAAGCTTTTTGCCACCGATGGAGCAACATGTGGCAAACTCTTTCCCAAAAGCACATATGAGGTTCACCATGAAAAACATGAGATACACAAGTTGGAAGTAGAGACAATAAACATGCAATTTTCGGCCCTACATTTCAACCGAACCAACCTCTCAACTCTTGTATCCTTCCGCCTGAAAACCATGAATATTCACCAAAACCTGACAGAAAATGTATTTTCAAACCCTTTTCTTCGATTCTACACCAAAGAGTCAACAAAAATCGCAGAGAAAGACTATCAATAACTTTCGCCCTACATTCGTAGGAATATATGGTGTGTCCATATAGGAGGCAGACCGCCATTAAAGTTCGTATAATTATAGCAATTCTCTCTCTGTCTCTTTTCTTCCATTTTGTATGCCCATGTTTGTTGATATTTTGGTCTAGAATTGACGAAGCGGGTTAGAATTAACATTTCTGACAGGTTTTGGTAAATTTTCATGATTATGAGGCGGAAGAATAACAGTGTTATCGGGTTGGTTACGGTGATATGTACGGCAAATAGTTACATGCTTTTAATATGCTTCTTCAAGTTTGTGTATCTCAGAATTTTGGTGGTCAACATCATATAAATTTCAGTGCAAAGACATGACCATTGTTTCTCTAATTTTGATTAGATCTCGGCAACTGCTTGTCGCATCGTTAACGGTTTCATTGGTACCGGAAGTGACATATGTTCAAGGGTAACGTGGCACTGGTGAAACCCGTCATTACTGTATCGCAGTTCTAGTTAGGGTTTCACACTGCGTAGCTTGTGTGAAACACTATTGTTTTTGTTAAGATTATTCTTCTTATTATTATTTTTCCAATTTCAGAAACTATTTTGGGCATTCTGTGACAATGCAAAATGTCCGAAATCGCCGAAGTATTAACAATAATCATCGAATTTTAACATATGATGCATTTTGACATAGCCGGAGACCAGGCACATAGCTGTGCTACTTTTGATTTTTGATTGTCGACGAATCTTCGAAGATATTAAGCGCCAAATTTCGAAAATTTAAAATTTTACAAAAAACTTTTTTATTTATAAATATGATTATATGGCATTTTACCCAGGGTTAAAAAGTTATCCGATTTGACTAAAAATGTCAACATTTTTTGTGCCCGTAACTTTCCTTGGCCGCCATTGGCTAATTCAGTTTCTCAGTCCTAGATTAATTATTTATTATTCGATCTGTACAAAAGAAAGTTCATATGCTGCGTGGTCCAAAATGTCATTTTCTTTTTGTTACCGGTAAAGATTCCTGTCGGCACCGGAAGTGACCTAAAATCAGCAAAAACTACAATTTTGACAGATTTTGACAGTTCGGTACAACTTTTTGATGGCAAATATCATTTTTTTTCAAATATGATTTAACTGAAAATGTGCGCCCTGTAAAGACGCACAAAACATCGGGCTCAGTTTTTTAATTTCGTTTTCGTTTTCGGGCCATTTAGATTAAAAAGCGAAAAAAGGTGTAAAAAAAAAGCTATTTACAACCCATCCACCGTCTTCATATTTCAAAATATTTTATCGTAACTTTCATAACCTCGTAGCAATAGCCCATTCAAAGAGAATGTGTGTCAAAATTAGTTTGTAATATCAGCAGTTGCCGAGAAATAGGCAATTTTGCATGAGTCATGTTTCGCGTTATTATTATTCAATTTTCAATTTTCTTTCACCATTTGATGACTAATGCCACGCTTGACTAGGTTAAACCATTTTAACACCTTTACTGTCACCGGAAGTGACGTCATTTGGGCAAAAACTGAATTTTTAGCCTTCAAAACCGATATTTTTTTCAAATGAGTCGTATATGTTATTTGTCGGAAAGTATGATATTTAATGCCAATCAAAAAATAGAATGAACCCATACGACCACACAGATACCACAAAATGGGTTCTAACTTGTAATGTTGCGGAGAAATAGACTATTTTCTACTAGTCACTTTTCAAGGTTTTTGGTCTATAACAGTGTCAATTATTATTCGATTTTCATAAAATTTTCACCATGTGATGCCTTATGCCATTTCTGATTTCATAAAACTAATTTAACATTTTCATTCTCACCGAAAGAAATGTCATTTTAGCAAAAACTCTATTTTTAGCTTTCAAAACAAATATTTCTCTAAAGTGAATTATTTTTAGTATTCGTTTAACATTATGATATTTCATTCCAATGGAAATATTGAATCAATACGATCATAGACATGCCAAAAAAATAGCTTCTAGCATCTTCCCAAGCCAAGAATAAACCAATTTCGTCAGGATCACTTTTTAGGACTTTTCGCATTTTTATTACAGTTTATAGGTTCCGTTCTAAGTTAATTATTTATTGTCTGATTTGAATGAAACAAAAGCTCATATACTCCTTGGTGCAAATTCTCAACTTGTTTCTATTAAAAAAGTTTTCTGTCGGCACCGGAAGTGACGTAATTTTGCCTAAAACTTAAATTTTAACGAGTCGGGAGGTTTTTACCTAAGGAAAAATCTTAATTTCTACAAATATTATCAATGTGACCTTTTGACCTCTGGGGTCACAAAGAACAAAGGTGAATTTGGTAAGTTTAAATTTTTATTGAAAGTGTGATTACTTTCGATTATTTTGAGCTTATTTTCATGATATCTCGAAAACGCCCCAACGGCGGTCTGATTACCACTCGGCATCGTATTCTACGCAAAATTTTACTCTAGAAAAGATGGGTCTCGTTTTGTGCCCATTTGATACCCCCGCCCCCCCCCCCCCTCCACCCCGCGCTGAGGCTCCAGACTATTACTTTTCAAAATAAAATCAGTACGGTAGGCAATATGGTCAAAATGTCCATTCCGTTACGTGGTAAAACTTCGCATTCTCAACTTCGAACTTAAAATTGAAAGGTCAGTAAAAATTACAGTGCTTGTATGTTAGCCATCCTATACCTACAGCTGAATAAAATGCCCTATTAGCTATTTAAAGAAGAAATAGAAATCAATTATATCAAATATTGTTTCTGTCAAAATTTGAGAACAATTTGTCTTGTTCGCGAGTTAACGATATGCCCTATTATACTATCTTATCACTATTTGATATTCTTTATAGCCTACGGCGCTCGATTCCAAAATGTCACCATTATTTCACTCCTCTATGGTCTTATACTATCTTACCACTATCACAGTTACGGTTATAGTGAAGCCCCCAGTTAGTAGTACCACTAGTTAGTGGAGCGACAGACTGTACAAATGTTCTGTTGTTAACTCTCACAAAACAGCTGCCCCATTTCTTATCCTCTCGTTCACAAGCATTTGCTCCAATCATTGAACTCAAATGCCAGGGAATTGAC